AAACAATTTCATCTTTTATAAAGATGTTAGAAGAGGCAAAGGAACAACTGTCCTGCCAGAATGCCCCTATGCACCTCCCTACTCACATCTGCCTAAGCACCTTCCAGTCCAGTAAGTTAAACATAACACACTCTGCCTTGTCTTATCGCCCGAGGAACAGGGAACAAGTGCCACCTTCCGTGTCACACATGAATCACCCACTTTCTTCCCCATTACACCAACTAAAAAAGCCCCGATCAACTGAGCTTTCCGCAACTGCGATTCTTTTCTATTTGCACCTCTACAAGTACCCAGGAGCCCTCACTGGTCAACGTTTTTGTAACACATCTAGATTACAGCACTAAAAGCACTTACAAATATAGCTCCTGTCCAACTTAAATGTTAACTTTATATTAGCTTTACCTTTATATTTTAATGGCTTCCAATGCCTATATGCATAAATACACTTAAGTGACGTCAAAAAACAGTCTTGATACATTTGGATAACAATAATGACAACAGAGCCCACAAACTTTGATATCTACCTGCTTGAGTTCAGTGTTTTCACATCTTAGTCAAAATTACATATGCATTTGCTTTTTTTTGCTTCTTCTCTCTGAAAACCTTGGAAACTTAACAGCAGAAGCTACAAGCAAACACGTTGATGCTCTACAGTTAAGGAAAGTATTTTCATTTTAAGGATCACAAAGTAATCTAAAGAAAGCATGTTTGCATATGGAGCCCAATTTTTTCCAAGAAAAACAGATAAGTTATCTGCTGGGAAAAGCACAAAATGCAACAAAGCTAGTAAGATTACTAGCTCAAAATCACTCAAAGAAAAAATGCCAGATGGAGGAACACAAACTATTCAAAAAAACCATGAAACTTCCCAAGCACTTCTCTCAAAATGAGGGGACTCCTTGAGAGCTTTCAGACTACTGCACCCATGCACAGACACTTTTAATGGGATTTGCAACAAAACCACAGCAATTTCTACTGCCATGTAAGAACAAGGCTGAATGGTGGCAATTACTGTGTTCTGAGCTTGCCCTTACACTTAAAATAACAAAGGAAGAAATGACATTACTTAATGTTTTTCCTGCTATCGTAAGTGGGCCACACCTGAAAGTTGTAGCTGCACCAGCTCGGAAATCTTTTCCTTCAATCACCACAGAAATTAATGTAAAAACTCTGGCAATTTGTTCTCCTGTTTTCAGTAGAAAATTTACATATGAATTACACACCAAATGCCCTTGGTCTAATAAACTGTTCTGGACTTGCACAATGAAAATACTGCTTTTTCCTTATCATCCTTCTCTTGCTATTCTTTTCTGTCTTTACAAAAAACCATGTACACCTAAAGCCAGCAGCAAGCATTGTGGTTGAGTCTACCTCTTGCCTGAAGTCCATGCATCGAAACAGAGGTTTGGAAATTTATCCTCACATTTCAAAGGATTTTGAGATTCTCAGATTTTCTGCCAGACAGGCCCTCTTGTTAGTCACTGCCTTGTGTATAAGTATTGACACAGCAGTCTGTACAAGTTAAGAAATCATCTGATGCAACTCAGCTGATTTTCAAACATATAAAAAATTGCATATCATAGCTTACATGAATGATTGAGGTTCAGGACCTGACTGGAAGACCTGAATACTGTTTTTCTATTACTTTTCATATTCATTAATCACCATTAGATAAAGAACAAATGAATTCACACAGAGGCTAGAAACAGCACAAGAGTTACTTAGGTATTTCCCATGACAGAATACAACTCAAACATTGGTTTTGCACTCAAGAACAGAACTGCAAACATTTCATAATTGCGCTACATATGGGAAATCAAAACAAACCTTACCTCATTTTAAATGGCAATTTTAGTAAAAAGTCAGGCTATGCTAGTACAGGGTGTAAGGAACCATATCATCCTCCTTCGGCAGACTTTTCCAAATGCCCCTGTATTCAACTAAGTCTAACTCCTCTCTGTTTTGTTTCCCCAGGAGGACCCATTCAGGACCATGTGCTCCTTTTCAGCTGTCAATAAACAGAAGCAGTGAATTCCCCAGCGCTTCACAAAGCTAGTTAGGCATAACCATTCATTTCTTCAGGAAAACAGGGCATTGATTTCAGCAAATTCCCAGGGAGCAGCTACAACAAAGAGATCAAAGACCCACCTCCTTTCCTGCCTGGCTTTGGCCGGCTGGGCTGAGAGGAGCAGCAACAGGTTTCCCGAGGAGTGGGCTGTATCCCCACCGACCACTGCACGTTCCATTCACGCCCATCGCCTTCCTACATTCCTGGGACAGCCCCCGGCGCTAACCGTGACAAACCCCTACATTCAGGCAGCATAATATACTGCACACTAGTTCATCCAAGGATAAAAAGAAAAACAAGCTCCAAGGGAAGTCTGCTGCTTCCCCGACCAGCTGAACCACAGTAGCTGACAAGACTTTTCATAAATGTCTTTTTTTTTCTTAGCTTCTCCATATAAACCGGAGAAATGTTTGCTACCTCAAATTCATTGTGCTGAAACTTCTCTGGAATGCTGGCTTTTCTGATTTATTTCCACAAGCTTGAAGACTTAGCTGCTGGAGTTTGAAGTCTAGATGCAGCAGCCCTTGTATTGTGCAACCATGATATTTTCTTTGTGCAATTTGCCCTAGACTGCAGTGGGTTTTTTTCTAAGGAATTAAAGGGGTTTGTTCCAGTTTGGTTAGAATTTTTACTTTTTTTCATTATACATCTTGTCTTCATTACTGTAATCTGAAACAAGATTTTTAATGCTAAAATTTGACCTTGTACTCAACCAAGCATTAGCAAAAGACAATGTCATGGTCAAGCTTAAGGACTGGTGGTTAGGCTACATATCTACTGCTAAACAGTAAGAGCCAGAGACATCGTGCTGAGACCACCTGGAAGCAGCTCCACAAGTCTAAATGCTCCTCATCTCCATCTCTTTTCCCCCACAAACAGTTTGGTTATATCTAAATTCCTTAAGTGGAACACAGTGTGGTAGATATTATCCCTCACACACACCCTAGTGTTTGTTGCTTGCTAGTATATGTTTGTACTGAGCTCACAGGCTGGCTCTGAAATATTTATTTATATACCAACAGACATAAAGATCTGAAGTCAATTCACATTTGTACAGATTTGCCATGTCATTCTTTAGCATTCTCCTGTGCACTGATGTTTTACCAAGGCACTCCCCAGCTGTCACAAACACCCACCAGCTGGAACCTGGAGAGCTCCCTCAGCACTGGCACCACCTCTGGGCCACTGACACGTCTCCAAGGGAGAAGACAAATGTCTATCCCACTAACATGAGAAAGTATCACAGCACCTGGCATAGCACAAGCAGGACAATACTGAGAAGACCAGGGACAGCTGGTAGGGATGACAGCTCACTACACAGAAGACAGCTGAGAACACAAGGAAATACAGAACTGCCAAATTACTGAAGTTGCAGGAGACCTGTAATGATCAACTAGCTGAGACTCTTGCTGAATGCAGGCCCTTTAATAGCATTACCTAGAGCCTTGTCAAGCCATATCTCGAATACTTCCAGTGAGGGCAACTCCACCACTTCCCTGGGCAGCCTATTCCAATGTTTGATTGATCCCTCATTGAAAATGCCCCTTACATCCACAAACACCTCCCCTAAAGCAACTTGTGGCCATTGCCTCTTGTCCTGTCACACTGCACGCCTGGGGAAAGGCTGCTTCCAACTCCTTTTCCTTAACTACCATTTTTTGTACTGAAAGACCATAACTAGATCCCCTTGAGCCTTCTCTTCTTCGAGTAGAACATACCCAACTCCTCCAGCCTCTACTCAGGTGACAACTTCTAGCTCCCTGATCATTAGGGGGAACATGAGAGAGGCACTGTTGCTGAGCTGAACAAAAAAAAAAAAAGAAAAATTAAACTGCCAGCTCATAAAACTGCTAAAACAGACAAACATCTGAGTACAGCTCAGGAGTCTTGACCATGACCTCTATGCAGTCACCCTGCCCTCTGCTTTCTTTAATATTTCACTCCTGATAATAGTTTTGCCTGTTGAATACAATACAGTCAGGCATATTACATTCCTTATTTTAGAGTTCCCTCTGTATCTAAATGCATTTAAGCATGCCCTGAAATTGCCATTTCGGAGAAGAAATTTTAAAAATGCATTTTAACAAATAACTTGATCTCCACATAAAATTGCTATCTTCCATTAAGCCACTGATGCTATTAAGTGATTGCAGTTATCAATGATAAAAACCCCAATCCTGTTTTCCTTGTTCCTCGAAGGAAGTACTGAAGAATGATAAAATGTATGCCTGAAATTTCCCTCTCTTATATTGCACAGTGTGCAGCTGGGCAGCCCTTGGAAGCAATGATAAAAAATAAAGGCATCTGAGACACTGGAGGGACTCCAAAAGAAAATATGTAGATCAGATCAATAAGCAGAAAAAAAAATGTGCTTAATGCTTTAGATAACTTAAGCTGGAGTGAGAGAGTGCAAGTATCTGGGAACTGTGAGCAACAACCTTTTGTGGTAGTTATGACAGCAAAGCATAAGGATGTAGCACTTCTCTGTTAAGAAAAAGGATAAATAATAGTGATAAGGCAGGAGATTTGGATGTGACTGGGATAATGATGCCTTGGAAGCACAAGAGTTAAATTCACAAAATTATTTAAAAAACCTGAGCACATCACCCTGTAGTAATCTGGGATGGTATTTGTGCCAAAGATAGATAAAACATTTTAGACAGAATTGCAATTTTGAATCTCAATGAACCAGTCTGTTCTTATGCTTGGGCCAGATTTTTACAATTTTACTCACATTAAGTCATGCTTTACTCCAAGAATAATCCCGTTGATTATAATGGTAATATTGTTTCACAGATGTCCCAGAGGAAACACAAATGTAAAAGCAGACTTTATACTTCAGATAAAAGACATCAATCATGAGTACATCTGGGAATCCGATAAAAACATATGGTACAAAAAAATCACTGTGGGATGATGGAAATGTACTTACAGAGCAGGTCTGTGGACATGTTTACAGATCAGGCAAAGGAAACCTACACAAAATAAATGAAAAAAGAATTATCAGTTTTCTGAACTAGGACTATTTATGTTTATATCTCATGCTAATAAACATGCATAATCATTTAGTTCTTTAGGAAATAAGGATAACACATCTACAGAAATCTGAAAAGGAAGAACTTCAGTTTGTAGGGAAAAGAAAAACTGATTCCACTTCATTTCACAGACAATGTAAACTAACAATATTAATATTGTCACTTTATTGTCATTTTTGTTGTTATTACTGTCATTAATATTAACAATATTAATGCAATGCATTTTAATTAAGACCAGTTCACTGTATTCCACATCTTCATTAACTTTTATTATTATGTATTTTCCAGGTATCAATTACAACAGAATTTTCAAGCATCATGTATTTCACCCTATTGCATGCTGTCCTGTGCTTAAGCCTGCTGATATTTCTAACAGTCTTGACCCTTGCAGAGTCAGAAAGAATATTAATTAAATATAGGGCAAGACATGTTATCTGGTCTCTTGAAGGACTTCTGAAGACTTTTGGTTTTCTGCTGAATTCATTCATCTTGTTCCCTTCCCATTCATCTGCTGGTTTTTGACTTAAATCTTACTAAAAGCATATAGGAGTAGAATCTGAGTTTTCTGTAGCTGTTTTAGCAACCCCCAACACATGGGTATCCCAATGACTGAATAAGGCTACGTGGAGCTACAGAAATAATAATGTGTGTACTAGTATGAAGGCACAAAAATAACAGTACAAATCACATCAGTGTATGCCATTTTATGCTGTGCATAAATCAGGCAGTGTATAAAGGGGTGTGTGTGTATGAATTAGGGTGAATGAAAGATGTTCAGTAAGGCCAAGTGCTGGGTCCGGCCCTTGCTGGGTCACAACAGCCCCATGCAGGGCTACAGACTGGGGAACAGAAGCTAGAAAGTGGCCTGGCAGAAAAGGACCTGGGGGTGCTGGTGACAGCAGCTGAGCATGAGCCAGCTGTGCCCAGGTAGCCAAGAAGGCCAATGGCATCCTGCCCTGGATCAGCAATGGTGTGGCCAGCAGGACCAGGGCAGGGATTGTCCCCTTGTACGTGGCACTGGTGAGGCTGTGCCTCAAATCCTGTGATCAGTTCTGGGCCCCTCACTACAGGGAGGACATTGAGGGGCTGGAATGAGTTCAGGGCAACAGAGCTGGGGAAGGTCTGGAGCACAAAGCTTACGTGGAGCGGCTGGGGGAACTGGCTTTGTTTGGCCTGCAGAAAAGGAAGCTCAGGGGGACCTTATGACTCTCTAAAACACCTGAAAGGAGGCTGTAGCCAGGTAGGATGAGTCTCTTCTCCCAAGTAACAAGGGACAGAACAAGAGGAAATGGCCTCAAGGACAGGAGGAAATGGCCTCAAGATGTGCCAGGAGAGGTTTAGGCTGGAAATTACGAAAAAAGTCTTCATCAAAAGAGTTGTCAAGCACTGGAACGGGCTGCCATGGGAAGTGTCACCATTCCTGTGTATATTTTGAAAACATGTAGGTATGGTGCTTAGAGAGATGGCAGTGCTGGGTTAATTGTTGGACCGATGATCTGAAGGGTCTTTTCCAACCTAAATTATTCCATGATTCTGTGAAAACTTGGCTCTGATGAAGACAACAGTATTTTGTCACTGACTGAAATGGGTAAAAAAAAAAAAAATCTTCATTTTTAGAAATAGAATTATAGTTAGTAAGATACTTCCAAATTAATTGTGGCTGGTTGCAAGAACTGAGTTGTGCTGAGAGAAAGCAGAAGTAAAGGACCCACATGCTAGAGGGACATCAGCAAGTCCTCTTTCCAGAAAAAACAGGCATGCTGACAGCAGGCTTCCTAAGCAGCAAGTGTCCTAGTCTGATTTCCATCATCCAGAAAACACTTTATTTCTGAAAAAAATCTGCTCTGCAGTTTGACGAAATTCTGGCTGAGAGCAAGACTCTTGTCTGTGGTGTAAATTTCTAAAAATATAGCCCTTGCAGAGGGAACAGTGGACTTTAATGGCATCCATATGTGACTGTACACACACCAGCCTTTGTCATCCCCAGAAACAGCAGGCTACGTGTTATCATTGTCAAAGCAGTGCCATCAACTAATAGATTTCATTTCCCCCACTGAATAACTAGATTCATGATAAAATGATTTAATTGTCTTGGCATTCAATCTGCAGGGCAATTCCCTGCGAAACCACCACAACACAGGTTCTTCCCTCCCATATGGTTTGAGTCATTAGTATACCTTCATCGTCACACATCTGGTCTGTAGCACTGTCCTGTCATGAGGAAGTGCAGCCTCAGCCCATGCCCTCTCTGGCCCCCACATATCCTCCATCCAGCCTTGTTACAGTGACACTGTGGTCCATGAACATCCCAATTAAGTTTTGGTTGAGTTGTTCTATGATGTCATTTTGGAGGTAAATCACCAAAGTGTTTTTCTCCTCAGGCCACTGATGCCTGAGAAATTTTTCCCCCTGTACAATTCTATGATGAAACAGTGTCAGCAACAGCAACCCCAAGTGCCCAAGTCCAGCCCTTGGAAGGACACAGAAACTACAGACCAAGAGGGAGCACCCCTGTGAGGGCATCCCAGCCACTGCAACACAACCCACTCACAGGACAGAAGAACAGCAGGCACAAGGAACCACACTGCCACAAGGAACTGCTCCTTTTCCAACAGCTGGTTCAGACTTTATCCCTGACCAGCTGTTAGGAGTGAGGAAAAGTACAACAAAGCTTGACCTGTATTTGCAGGGGCAGGGGAGTTTAAGTAGAACTACAAGCTCCTTCAAAAGCTATGCCAGCTCTTACCTGCAGTTATCCTCAACAGGGACCCAGAACTGCCTGTCATCCTAGCTGCACAAAACTATACCATAAATCCCTCTCCTTCTTTAAGGGTTTGAGAGCACTCCTTGTGCAGTGTATTTCCCCCTGACCAAGGGGGTTCCAACACACGCAGAACTGTGGCAGCCACAGATACTGTGCCAAGCAGGCACAGTGCCTGACAGTTTCTGGCCACATCAGCCACTTGTCTGATCTAAACTCGGGTGGCTGGCCATGAACCACACTGACCTTTACACAAAGGGTTGTAGGTATATTGGCCAAATTTGCTGTGCTGCCCACAGTCAAAATAAGTTGCTTGCAGTTGCTCTTAAGTATCCTCTTTTCTCATCAATGAATGGGCAGAAGAGGAAGAGAAACTGAGTGGGGGATGTTTCCCATACATGAAAATTGCAGCCTAGAAGATGTGAGACAAAGCCTAATGAGGTTTTTACAGGCTTTCAGGTATCAGGAAAATAACTTATTTATTTAGGTTGAGGAAGACTTGATGGGTTAAGTATAACAGATGGTTAACAGTCAAGAGATAGCAAAACAGTGATTACAGACACTTTGAATGATGAAAAGTTCAATGCTCTCTGGTGGTGGAAAGTGATTTGCACCCTTTAGAGGAAGTGGGGATGGGTTCTGCACTGCCTAGGAGGACATGTCACAGTGTATTTTGTATTTTCAGGATTTTAAGAATTGGGTTATTTTCAGCTGCTCCACGATTGCCAAAAATTCAGAGGCTATGCATTTTATGTTTTATAAGTGATTTTAGTGGGCACACTGTGGGCATGTATGACTCAGAATAGATACATATGATGGTGGTCCTATCTCAGGGGACTGTCCTGAGATGTCCAGAGTCCACAGTGGCAAAGGCAATGCCTGTTACCTGCTCTGTTCTGGTGCAGAAGATATGGAAGTAATGAAAATAGGCAGCAGTTCCAAGTATGGAACCAACTGTAGTTCATGAGGAGGACCTACAATGAGGATCGAAGTCACTGCTACATCAGAGGAAAGGTGACTTCCACAAGAAAATGCACAGCAAGGAAAACCAGACTGCACAGGACCTATGGGGCTGTTCATGGTGCACGAGACATCCGTGAAGGCCAGCAATGGCCTTGATAACTTCCTTGCTTACCAGTGGCTCACACTGGAAGGCAGCAAGAAGGGCAGCAAAGACTCCACTTCCTACAGCTGCTACAGGTCACTGCAGAGTTCAAGGAGGATGACAAGGTTTTACCAAAAAGCACTTGTTTCCCTGACCTTGAAGCTCATCTTTACCAGAGACAACAAACTCCATGGCAAGGGAAGCCAGGAAACTGCTGTGTGAGGGACCTTTGCAATGTCTGCAATGTAAGACTACAACTTGCTGTTTGAGACAGCTGCCCTGCAGGTAACACCCAAGGATTCTCACGTGAGTTCACGTGACAGAGCTCTTCCACTGACCTCTTTCAGAAGATGTACATCTATCTTCCCTTGGATCATACCACAGTAAGCTAAGGGAAAAGCAGCCCCAGATGTGGGAAGAGACATAAGTGGCAGCAACAGGAAAAGCTTTCACACTGTGGTGATATCCTTGTGCTTGCAACACGATGCCATCTGTAGATAACAAGAGAACACACTGCCTGCAAAAGAGACCTATGCCATGCCGAGACAAAGACCTGGATCAGAGCCTCTGAATTATGAACCCACTGTGAGCTGAAACATGGCTGGTCTGAACCAGTCATCTTCTGCCCCCACCAAGTCCTCAGAGGTTATTACAGAATTCCTTACATTCCTGTTTATGTTGCTTTTCACATAAAAACAATGTCTAAAACCAATGACGACTGTAAAACACAGGCAGACTCTTGTAGTGATCTGACGTTATACAGCCCTCAAATGCACCTCAGTTTTCATGCTGCCCACCAAAGAGGCACATTAGTTAACCAGTCAAAAGACTAATCTCACTGTGTGAAGTCATCTGACCACTCATGCAGCTGAAAAGGAACACTGCTATTCCTTGGGCACTAAGAAGAATGCCCAGCACAACTCATTTATGGACTCACAAGAGCCTTATGTAAGTGACATTGTCATCTAAGTACCTTTTATCATATTTTAACTAAGTAAGGGTAAAACACAAGTAAATGTATTTTTTCAAGACATAATGGTAAGTAATAGAGTTGCAGATGTCTAAAATACACAA